TCATACGGTTTTTCTGATTCATCAACATCCTCATCATTCTCGTCAGGCATATGAACACTGTCATTTTTTTTGGGCGTTGAACCAAATACTGGCATGCCCTGTCCAGGAAATACTAAAAAAACACAAAATGTGAGTTCTTTAAGCTTGGTAGTTTAATTAGCTTAATTCTCATCTGCAACAATCTCGTATTTTATAACTGGTTCTTCAGAAGCTGGTAGAAACAAACTAGAGCCAGCAGGTGTTAAAAAAAGAGTTGTAGTTCTTGTAGAATTTTTTGGTATTACACAAATATTATTACAATTGTTCGTTTTCGCTATATGACGTACTAAAGTTTTTTAACTCACCGCTTGTGTTGTGTTTTGGTGAGATTATTGGCATCGGTGGCAGATTGTAGACGAATTTATCGAATGTACTTGTTGTGGTCGTTGTTCCTATCGATGATACAGAAGTTGCCAAAGGAGATTGTGTTGGATATACTTCGAATGTTTGTGATGGTTCTAGTGAAAAAAACGTTGCAAAAGTATGTATGAGCGAAAAAGAAAAGTTAAGATGTAATACGACGTACTTAGTACACCAAACTGATTCGACTGAGGAGGGTATATAGAATATGTCTGATGATAGAGTGATCCATTAGATGGTGGTTGAGGAGTTATTGCTGGAATTTGATAAACGCCTGCGAATGGAGGTTGCGTTGAGAAACTCGGAAATGCTGATATTGATAGAGGCGGTGATGGTTGCATAGATGGTATAGTTGAAAGAAACGGTTGACGAATATGTTGTTGATATTGTGCTAATTGTGGTTGGTTATAAACATTTTGCGAAGTAGGGTAAGGATACACAGGTTGTTGAGGAACGTGTTGTTGTTGTTGTTGTTGTTGCTGAATTGATACTCGATTACAGAGCATTTCAACTGTATTCTGAACAAATAACAAATAAGATTACCAGCTGTTTTTATCGAATAAATGTCTAACAAAAGTTTACCTTAATTTCAGACAATTGTAATGATATATGTTGTGAGTATTGAGTCAAATTCTTTATAACATTCGTCTGAATACTTAAACAATTGAGTAATTGGTCACTGACACGTTCATCGAAGTTGGTCACTATCGGTGTAGTTTTCGTTTTATCTTGTTGAGTGCCAATAATTACAGATGAAAATGGTGGTTGTTCTGAAAAATTATGTTGTGGACGACGAACGAAAGAAGAAGACTCGTATCGAGTTCCACTTGCGGTTGATGCTGTTGCTCCCTCTCGTTGTATGGGTGAGGACGATGTTTCATTAGTCGTTGTTGATACATTAGAATTTTGTATTTGTTGGTTGAGTTTAGGGAATTCCAATAATGTATTATTGCCATCTCTACCACTAGTCGACAAAACGTCCGTCAACGGTGTTGTGGGGGTATGGAATGATGTCGATGATGTCACACGATGATTACTAGGGAGTGTTTTTGACATTCCTGATTTTTCTCTAGAAGAAAATGACATCAGACTGCATCTAGAACATAAATGCGATTCATAAGTAGAGACAAAGCCAAATAGATTCTCAACTAGTACACTAACACCTATACACTGTATATCTGAGAATACGAATAATCACAACAAGCAATTCTTCTTAACGTTCTCATTAATCATTAAAGAAACCTAAAACGTATAATGTAATTATAATAAAAGCTGAATCAGTGACACAGTGGTGGTTTTCTCTCCAACCATATTTTATAAAATAAATCAGCTTTATCATGATGTTTATACGGTGCATCAGAAAACAAGACAGGTTCAATATTCTGCGCTCCATTTTTTTCATCCATGCATTCACCCATTATTTTTTGTACCTATTTTGGCGCAGAGAACATGACTGTACTCCTCATTATATATACATGTCATCTATCAGAACTTTTTTGTTCTTTACAGCTTTGGGTCTGCGTGACTCATCACTGTCTTTTTCTGTCGTATTGTCTACGAAAAACTTCTGCAAAAGAACAAAAGAAGACAAAATCAGAGGATTCTTATTTATTGTTATTTTTATTAAACAAAATGTCTGAAATAAATAATCAAATACATATATAAGCAGTAGAATGAGATATTGTGTAAGAATAAAAAAGAGTGACATACGGCTTTTATTTACTCAACTGTGTAAAAACATTAGAACTTTTCGAGCAAAAATCGAAGAAACTTGTGCTGCCAGCAGTCGCATAGCACAAATTCGAATGAAACAAATCAGTCTTTACTTGACTCTTTTTCTATGGGATAGGGCGTGAAGTTCACTCAGTTATTTGAGTGGAAAAGGAAAGCACTGATTATTTTTTCGATAAATGAATATACATAGAAAGCTCGTATAATGAAAGTTTTTCTTGAGAGTTGATGTATTTTATACTAAGCACAAAAACAGAGAACAAGTCTTTTATAACCTGACACAGATATGGCCTGACTACTCATATACTTTCACTTAACTGACGCTTAACGTCAAATATCACATGATGTAAGTTCTTGTTTAATTAAAAAAATAGCAAACATTCTACAGAACAATGTTTACTCACATATTCGAATCATCTATGGATTATTGTCATGTAAACGTTTATAAAATTGTTGTGCTTTGTTGGTTGGTAGTATCGCTGAAAAATGAATTTGTTAGAGAGACAAGTAATTTAAAAACAATATAGTTTACTCCTAATTCTCTTTTTTCCTCATTTGTACTAAATCGAAAATGAATTTGTTCGCGACTATGAGTTTTTCAAACAAAATTTTGCGTAAGATTTATGCGGACGAAGTGAAGTAATTTTAGAAGGCTTATCTTTATACTTCACATAACAAATATATAAAAATGTCTTAAAAAATGAAGAAGCAACGCCACATAAAAGTGTAAAAACAGGAAGTCACTTACAATCAAATTGATTCATCTAAATCTCCCGTTGAAAATGTAGTTGTTTTGGTAAAACAAATAGCGAATACAATTTGTTTCGAGTATTGTCTAATTTCTCCTTCAGATATATTCTTAATCGATCGGGATCAATCAAAGTGTTATTTTCTTTGATCTTAATATAAAAGAAGAAAATAAAGGACAAGGTCAGACAATATTTCGAAAAGGAAACACCCATTCATAATTTTATAATCAAATTACCGATTGACAGTATTCGACCTATAATATCAGTAAACTTTAAAGTGCGATTTAATAGTATTTAACTCAGTTCTAGCATCGTCTTAACAGCTAATATAGAAAAATATAATACAACACTCCTAGTTAAAACTAATTATCCAGAGGTCACCTTCTTTTGCTTTTGCATCAGTTTTATTGGATCAAACGAATAAGGTCTAAAATAAAAGAATATTAACTATTAGGTGTAACGCACTCAGAGTTTCCAATTGTTTTCGGTGGGTTGGGAAATTAGAACTTTGACGGAGAATTAGTGATTAGTACGAAAGTTTTCAGCCACATTCGCTGGTAAAAAAACTCAAACATTGGCAGACATAGTTCAAAAAGTCTTTTAGGATAGAGAAATAGCCATTCTAGTCGAAAACACTGACACTCACTTTTTTTTTAGTTATTTAATGCATCGAAACAGTGCTGCTTTTAAAATAAAAACAAATATTTCCAATTAAGGCTCCTTCGCTCATTTTGAGGCGAATCTCACTATTCAATCATAAACACTTAATATTTTTAGAGACTATTCAAAACTATTTTGTGCATCTTTTGAGACCACAGTGAACTCTCCAACTATCTGGGTTTCCAGAAATCTCACTTTTAATTTGCACTGCTTGCGCACACGTTACTCTGTCATGCATCATGTTTGCCTCAAAAATGAGTGGTCGGTATACCCTTAAATAGTATACCTCAAAAAAATTTAAAACATCTTCACTTTTTATAGCAAGATCAACTTACAAGTTCATACATACATTTCCCGAGTCTGATACACGTAAGATAAACTTTTCCAAATAAATTTTAGTTAAATCATATTCGTTTACACCGTAATAATGGTTAACAAATTGATAACCACACGTAACATTCTAAAAATTAAGAAAAATAGAAATCTAAGGCTAAACAAAAAGCTAACTTCTATCCTGCACGAAGCGCAGTCGTTGTTCAAAATATTAATTTGTTTAGTTTTTGACTAAATTTGACATCAAAACAGGCTAGTGTTTCCAAATGCGAACAAAAACCAAAAAGTTTACAAAAGACAGGAGCGTGAAGAGAATATACACAATTTTTATTGAAATTTGAAAATACAAACTGGACAGAATTTTTTCCCTTAAGCATAGTGTAGGAAACGAGCTCGAAAATTAATTGCGCGTGTCTGTCTGCCTGCAAAAATATCGGCAAAACATGGAAAAATGGCGAGTAGGTTTTTCGAGGATAAGCCAATTCGAAGAGAAACAATAAACGTAAATGCCAATGCAGTTATGGAGTAGATGTCACTGCAAGAATACCAGGTTCTCTAGAATTTAATACAATTCAACAGAGGAAGCCCCTTATCGATGTAGAATGAATTATCGTACGAGGACTTTTCTTATAGACTTATCTTGATATATTGCGATAACTAAAATACATCGCAAACGTTGAAAGGCTCCACTGTATTTGGGTATAGTAATACCCCAACTAACTATAAAGATTTATCGCCATAATAATTTTATCCATAGTGAGTGCATCTTGATGAGCAATAATTCATGAGTCTAACGGAGCATTACAGATGTGCTCTAATACTTTTACACCGATTTTGTAGTAAGTCGAAACGTTTTAAAGTTGAGGGTAAATATTTGATTTGTCTAACGATGCGCTAGTTGTTCATTTAAATTCAAGATTTAAACGTGCTGTTTCAACGTCATAATCTGAGGAATTGACTGAAAATCTGAGCCTTAAACTTTGACTTTGGAAGTAAAGTCAGCGGACAAAGGCGTTTTATTACGTAGAGTCAAGCGTTTGCGTCGCGGGATTTGGGAGCCAAGTTAGTGAACGAGAGCAAGAAGAACTCAAAGCTTTCAATATGCGTGTGGTAGCCTTTTTCTTGTAAACATTTGTTGGTGATTACTCTTATACCGAGAGTATTTATACGATTTCTCATTATGTAGCATTAAAGCAGAACTCAGAAGGTTTTGCACTTCGTTTCCACATGCTGTTATGTTTATTAGGATACCCCAAATGGTACTGATTGTTGATCTCAATTCCACAGCAAAAACTTTTCGAATATAACAGTAAAATATTTATAAAAAAAACGAGGCAGATATACCTCTCTAGCCCCGTTGTCGCGGCGTCCCAGTACGCGCGATGGATAGCCACAGATTCCTACCTATACACGTTCAAGTTCTCCGTTCTGGGTAATCCTGTAATAGTGTTTCGTTACTTACTCTCATACTCCCAGTCCCCCGCCACCGTCCCCTAGCTCTTCCGAACTCCGAACATTCATGCACATATCCGATATCTCAAAAAATCTCAGATATGTAAACATCTCATTACGTCCGCATACTGAGCAAATATCTCAAATATCTCAGTTATCTCGTTAGACACATTAAAGGAAAATCTCGTTACGCACAGTACATCGATTAGATAATTTTCAATAGTTTACTTAAGAATTTCGTTACATCACGTATGCATATTTGCGCAGTAACGTTTGAATACGCAGCGTAAGAGTATTGGAGCATCTCTGGACCATTAAAATTTTTTCCATATTGACTTTTGTCGCAATATATGCAGATTCGTGTGACCATTACCATAAGTTGCAGTGGGCTTTCTAGTACAACAAGTCGAAACGTCCTGTGACGTCATGTGGTTTCCCCACTCTTGCATGTCAAAGAAAAGTAAAGGGCCCTCTCCAAACTGAGTACCACCAGGTTCCTAAAAGTTGTACGTCTCATATCTCTTGTAAGTGTTACTTCTATTTTTGGATCGATGGTTTTCTTAAATACCGCTGGAGAAAGCTATCTCAGGTCTAGTTCCGAAATCCACAACCATATACGTTTTAAGTGCATGTGTCTACTATCAAATAATTAAATAATAAAATTTTTAGAACTTTGCGTTTACCCGTCGTAGGAGATCTTCTAAGAGCACTCGATTTTCAGTCAAAAACCTTCGGCTTTTGAGTTTTTCCAAAATAAATACTGTTTAGATAGCCAAAAGTGAACTCTGTCGAATGAGTCTGCTTGAAAAATTAAATGGTAACGACGAATATTTTTAATTTCAATATTTCCGAAAGTCCTGTGCCTCAAAACTCGGTTATCAAGAAGTCCACTGTCAAGTCAGAATCAACCAGTTCCAATTGCGCCATCAGATAGGGCAAGGTTGAAAAGCCTTAAGACTCAGAGGATATGTCGCTTTGTCCATTACTTACGTGGGCAGTATATATGGGAAAGACGCTCATTACCCAAAAATTTGGCCACAAATCCTATTCTTACGAGGGAACCTTCCCAGATGTAATACTCCATTTCCAATGATTTATGTGCCGATCAGTAGAGGATAGCGAGGTGAGCTAGTAAAAGCCCTAAAAGGATTTGGGCTCATGGTACTTCTTTCAAAGTGATGAACGTTTTTTGTTTGCCTGTGCAAGAGACTATGCTAAAAATTCCATAACTTAATCAAAACAGCGAATTAAGACCTTAATTTTTTTCCATCACTGTGCTAGATATCTATTATTATCACCGAAAGTTTCAGCCTTCTGACCCTGGTACTTGCTAAGTTATTGAATAATTGAATAATTAAATAATTGAATATTGAATAATGAATATTAGGATACAATCATACTTTATTTGTAATATGAAGTGTTTTTCCTTACATGAAGATCTTAATTGCGTGTCAATAGAATTAGGCATCCTCCAGTTACAGTTAACTGTAAAACTGTAACTGTCATAACTGTATAACTGTTATAACTGTAACTGTCATAATTGTAGGCAAATATTCTAGAGTGATTAGTTTTGTACGATTTGCATACAGTTTAAGAATGTCTCTATTCTTAAAATGTATGCAAATCGTAGAAGACTAACTCACTCTAGAATATTTGCCTACAATTATGACAGTTACAGTTATAACAGTTATACAGTTATGATAGTTATACAGTTATGACAGTTACAGTTTTCACTGTTACAGTTGACTGGTAAAAAACTGTATCTGATGCATACCTAAGTAGAATGTACTGGAAAAAACTGCTGCGGTTTATGTGTTACTGATAGTCTGATAAATGAATACTCTTTTAAAAGATGTACTTTTGATTCGTCCTTAATTGCTCACTCTCACTTTTGATATCACCTTTGATGTTGTTTGATCTTACAAAGCTAATTAGGGACGAATCGACAGGACACCCTTAAAAGGTGCCGATTAATTATCAGTGAAGAAGTAAACTCAAAAAAGAAAAGGAAGTTCATGTACATTATAAAAACTATTATAAAATGAAATGCTGTGAAACAATAGAATAGCGACTGACCGGCATATGTTTTGAAAGACTTTCTGAATTAATAAGAATAGAATCTAAGAAAAGTTTGAATTACATATATTATATGAGATATATACTTGCTTTAATAACTGTATATGTTAGCAGTACAACATATCGCTATTCACTAGAACCACTTCCCACAAATTGAACATGTCTGTTGAGCCGATTGAATATTAACAAAACAACAGCACATATGGATTATGAGTGAAGCGAAAAATTATCTTCTGAAGTTTTGAGATCATTATGATGACTTCTGACAAAGTTACGAACTTCTTAATATTAGGTGAAAATAACTTAAAATGTTCACATAAAAGCAATTTTTACTGGTACTTAAAATTAGTATTCGAAACATTTCTATGTTATGGTAATTATATTTGCCTGACATGTAGAAAAAAGTTCACCAGTTCAACTCCAACCTTAACCAATTCTGACCAATTTCCCATGTAAGTTACTAAAAATCTTAGATATATCAAAAAGTTTTAGACATACCTCTGAAATGAGCTGAAAACCTTTTTCTAAATCAGTTTTCAATGCTGATTTAGAAAAATATAGCTCGAACCTTCCATCTTGCAATACAAGCTCAAAAAGTCAATTCCATCATAGAGGACGGTTTTTTGTATTTTTGAGGTCCTCTTAGTAGTTTGAGTTTTTCTTCATGAAGAAATGGCATTTGAAGGCTCGGAAGGTGTTATTCGTAATCAGCTCGTTAAGCTGAATCTGAATATGTATAATAATGCCAGAAACAAATTCCACTGAAATTTTGCATTACCTGCACCTTAGTAAGAACCCATGTCATCAAAATCGCCTAACTTTTGCCGATTAATCGCGATTTTGACTCAAAATGGTGATTAATATTCATAGATTCATAGTAACAAGCCAAAAAAATCGGCGATTTTTTTGGCTTGTCACTATGGAAAATCAACAGAAAAATCGCAATTAATCGGCAAAAATTAGGCGATTCTGATGAGATGGGATATCAAGATACACCCATCTCATGTCACAGAACATAGAAGCTTCTATGTTCTGTTGCGAAGTGCAGAGGTATTCAGCAGTGATTAGCTAAACATTTTGTTCAGTTAGACAGCACCGGTAAAACCACAACACTTATAGTGAGACGCCATCTATCGTCTTTAGACTAATACGGTATTTCTTTTGGTCAATGAGTAATAAGTACAACTTTTTGACGAATATGTATATAGTTTTACTCCTGATCCGTTCTTTTTCATCAAAATTTTGATGGCGGCCATTTTTGGCTATTATTGCCAGGTAACTTCTTTCAACGGTAACTGGTGTAATGATTACAATTACACATAGTTGTTAGTGATTGCACTGTTTCTAATGTCTTGTCGTGTTCAAATTAGTGGACGTGTCCGCATCTAGCGCTCTTGAATTTAATCTGCATGCTGTTTCCATACAGTGAAAGGCACTTCAGTTTTCTTCTACAGTCTTGAACCTTTTTTTGACCTTGAAACCTTGTTTGCTATATTAATACAGAAAATTGCAAAAGAGTTACTGAAAGAGCGACTGGAATGATCTGTTTATTTTTTCCCTTACTTGTGTTGTGTACAAAGCAGTGTTTTTAATAGGATGATGGAATAGGACCACTGTAATTCACAGGGTTTTATAGGCGGATTTTTTACCGTTTTTGTCTGTAAATCTGATTGTGCTATTGTTTTAACTTTTGATTGAATTACAAATTTTTAACTGTAAAATCAATGAAGGAAAAATCCACCATGGCAAAATTGTAATAAAAGAAGTAGCAAGGAACTACTTGTCCATTTGTTTTGAGATAAAGCGAGCAATGGTCGTATCCATGATCCAATAACATGTCTAAATCTGGTGCGGCTTTTTCTCAAAACAACTTAAGTTTTACCAAGTTTACCAAGTAAACAGGAAATTATACTTAGATGTTTTTGAGAAACTCACTTAAGTAAAACTTAAGTTTCTTTGAGAAACAGACTCCCAGATGATACCGCTGGTTATACGGTGGTAAACCGAACGGTGGCCGCAATTACCGTGCGGTAATTTCGATTTTGTTACCAGTATAGCGGCCGGGATACTGAACGGTGTTAATGTCAAAGTTAATTTGATTTAATATATTCTGCGAAATGATAGTGTCAGAAAACTTTCGTTATCAAAGTTTTTGGTTTTCCAAGAACAGCTTTCAGAGATCTAGCTTGAGAATCCGTGTGCGGCATAACAGATATCATATTTGTAACCAGAATGTCTGAATTGATATAAATATGTTTAACATAAATTATTGTCCAGACACATTAGAATATTTTGAGGCATATCTGCTGTAGTAAGAATACTTAAGAATTTTAATAAAAGAGAGCAAAAGTAGTAACTCCAAACTAGACATTATATATTGCATAGTTTACAAAAATTAATCACATAAAAACAGCACTCGCAACGCCACAAGTTACACGCATCTAAAATCATGACGAACATTACCAAAGTCACATTTAAAAACATAATTATATAGTTAAGTTTATCACAGATTTGAAACAGTCCGTTGTGTAACTTCGTTTTGATATTTATTTTTTTGTTTTTATCCTTTTCTGAAGTAAGAACAAGTGTGTTAGTAAATCTGTAGATAGATGTTGAATTCTTGAGAATTTAGTTTAAATCGAATATAAGATGTGAAGAAAAAAGATTTCATGACGCTAGCGATCCTTAAACGAAGGATCTACCTCCATGCTTGATGATTATTATACCACCCTACTTTGATGGTTTTCAAGTATATTACTGCACGTGGGCAACAAAAATCAGAGTTTACAAGTGCATTTAACGCTCGAAAACAAGACTTAAAAACTCTGACTATTTAAACTGACATATGTTTTATTTCTGTTTGGAATCACAAAAATGAGGAGTTCACAGTATTTAATTAAGAATAAATCTAAGATCGATATGCGTTGTGTTAGTTTTACAATATCCATTACCTTTTTTGTTTAAGAATATGTCAGACTCTTGTAATCAATCACAAGTAAAGTGTTTCCAAGATAAAGATTTATGTAAAATTAAAAATATTCGTATTGAAGAATTACCAAAAAATTCTCTGTATGTTCGTCCATACCGTTTGTTGTTCACAGATGAACATAACAATAATCAAGTCGAACGAATATGGGATTGTGTTGATGCTCATTCAAGTGTTGCGATTATTGTTTTTAATAAATCGAATGATACGTTAGTATTAGTGAGACAATTTCGCCCTGCTGTTAATGTTATGTTCGCCAAAGAACATCAACAAGTATCATCATTGCATGATATTGACTTCAGTAAACAGGATCCTGCAGAAGGCATTACATGGGAGTTGTGTGCCGGAATTATCGATAAAAGTGGAAAAACAAACAAGGAGATAATTCAAATTGAACTATTAGAAGAATGCGGTTATAATGTAGATTTAGATACAATTGAAAAAGTGTCACAATATCGAACAGGTGTGGGTATTCATGGTGGATTACAAGAATTGTTTTATGTTGAAGTAACAAATGAAATGAAAACAAATATGGGAGGAGGAAATGCCACGGAACAAGAATTGATTGTTGTCCATGAAATTAGTGTAAATGACGTTTATAAATTTATTTTTGATGAAACGAAAGCAAAATCGACAAATCTTATGTTTGCCATGTTTTGGTTTCTACATCAGAAAAAACGTTTGCCGCCGGTGTAAAAAGAAAAAAAGTAAATTAATTTCTCTAAATGCTGTGATAGTACATGTAATCAATAATTTTTTTTCAATATTTTCGCGGCATTTTTATATAAATTATAAGTGGATATGTCAATTTGCTATTTCTGATTTATTTGTCTCTGCTTCTGTTTTATAACTAGATTGCTTAGTCGAGGTTTGAACTAGGAACGTTGAAACACAAAAATTTTTATGACTCTCGGCAAAAAGCTTATAATTTTTGAAGGAAACATTGTCAAGATGTAGAAGACGGCCCATTTTGAAGAAAACTCAACACTGGCTACTTGAAAGAAATTTGCGTTACCCGAGAGAAAAGAAAAAATCTAAGCAGTTAAAAATTGAGTTTTTTCAACTTAAAGTGACAAACATTAAAAAGTTCATACTTCCTTAAAGAAAAATCACGAACGCTGAGCGTAGTCTCAAATTATAGAGGAAACTTTACTCTATCATTTGACTCCATCATGTTTAACTCAAAAGTCGTTTTTTTTCCTTCAGGAAGGGAATACTCTTAACCAATTTTAAAGAGAAGCAGTTTTATTTGAGTTTTTCCGTTTCTTTAAACTCATGGTTTCATATTTACTGTACTTTATAGCCTTCAGACTGCAATAATAAGGTTTTAAACCCACTGTAAACACACTAATACGTGCTTTATGATGACTAGCAAAACTCACTGCAGTTTTGATAATGTCAGCTATTTGAAAACCGGTTTTCAAGACAGTAAATCTTCAGAAAACTAATGAGAAAAATTATTATTTTAATTGTTTTAGAATCCCAGTACATGGAGACCATCGAGAATTATCCTTGCTTGAAATCTAAAGCACTTTGCATGTGTAACAGATAAGGATGCAGTGAGTTTTGTTTGTTATCATAAAACACGTATTAGTATCTAAAGTGGGTTTAAAACTTTATTATTGTAGTTTGAAGGCTATATAAATGATCAATAGACAAATAGTGACATTACATTTTGATCAATATTACAAACGCTTTCAAAATCAGATGCCAATCAATTAGTAGACAATCATCCTACAAGAATTCTTTTTAATAACATTGCTTTAGCACATGTGCTCACCATTACAGATATCAAAAACTTTTTGGCATGAATACCGATCTGCTATCGACGTGGCACGCGTACATATCGTTCTTTGTCGATGCACGTGAAAGTGTAGCATGAAATGTGCATCGATGTGTATTCCCAATGTCAAATCATATTTTTAAAAAATTCAAACTGATTTTGTAGGGCAGTTCAATTCTGACCCTCAATTGGTTTATAGTCAAACAGATGTATTTCTTATGCATATTGCAACAACCGTATCTCACTTAACCCTTTTTTTTGAAGATATAGGAAAGACGACTACTAAAGTGAAAAATTTTTTCAACTTCATTTAAAATAAAATGAAGTTGCCTAGGTGACAGAATATAGAATGTCCACAAACGTGGACATTAGGGGTGAACAACATGAAAAACGCAAATTTTTTCTCTTTGTTGTTCGAACTTGTTCTGTCAAAACTCAACATTTTGACAAAAACAAGGTCTTATTCGGAATCAGGATCAAAAGTTGAGTCGAATGTCACGAGTATCAGGGTGTTGGAAATATTTGGAGTTTGAGTGAAAATTTTGATTTCTGAAAAAAACAAAAAACTTCGAGGTCATTCAAAATTTCTGAGACTCATGTTATTCGATCCAGTTTTTTATCCTGATTCCGAATATGACATTGTTTTTATCAAACTAGTGAATTTTGACTGAGAAAATGGCAAAGGACAATCCCGATTTCAAAGAGTTCTTCACTGAATCCATAAAATTTAAATTTTTCGACAACAAAATAAAATTTTCCGTTACCGATGCATACATTTTTCTCTCATAAGTATATCAGTTAGAATGAAGTATGAAAGAAAATTTTATCCTCCAAATCCTAGGACTAGATAGATTTACAAGATTGGTCAGCGGCTCTTTTACCATCCTGCCCGTCTTCAACAGTTCTCGAAGTGAATTTGAGTTTTAAAATTTCCAAAATCTGTTTTCCAGACCCAGTTTTGGATGGAGAGCAAGAAAAAAATTATTTTGAAATTTTAAAAATAGAATGAATGGTTGAATTGAACTTTTATTAAAACTTTTGCCTACTTTCACCTATTTTTGAAAAATCGATAGTTAAAATTTTTTTAACTGACAGTTGTGTTTCAAAATTTGGGGATTAAGTTTTTCCTATTCAATGCGATTTGCTCTATCCAACCATGGCAAAAAACGAAAAATAAAATTCTGCATCTTACAAGAAAAGAAGCGAAAGAAGGAATGTGCATATGTTTAAAAATTAGTATTTTCTATGTTACTCTCCCCTGAAGTTCACAGCTGTGGACATTTCATTAATGGACACGGTACTTCAAAGCGACTTGACAGAAAATTTCTTTTCCTGTATAATTATAGAAAGGATTCTTATAGCAATAGTAATCAACCACTACATTTAAAAATCTTTGTATGGTTAAATTTATGGAAAAAGTTGTTAAAAAACTTCAATAATTTGCAGCTCTTGAGTTTTATAAGTGAATTATCACGATCAAGATCCATATAAAGAAAAATTTCTTTTTACCAATCGAGAGCTGATGAAGTCTTGCAAATTGGAACAAAATCCGGTTTTGATACAATTGTACGTTATTTCTGTATATCGATTTTATCAATATCCACGCGTGTGGACACCCGCGGATAAAGGGTTAATTCTGATCTGATATCCTTCATAAATTATGAAAATATACTTAAAAAGTAATAATAAGTTAGAATAGATCAATCTGCTCTACTCGAGAGACTTTTTTCAGCCCATTTTGCTAATCGATTTTGTCAACGTACTACCACAGTGTTTTCCAAGTCTAATATACCGTCCAGAATTGTTGAAGTTGCCAAAATTGTGAGATAGACCTAGAAAATATTCCTGAAATAGTCGAAATGACAAAATATCAACGAAGTTTCAAGAGACAATGCTAATTTCAAATTTGAATTTTCTCTTCTATGTCCACTACGATAGTTTGTTCTGGGTAGAGTCCCTTATAATGATAGATTATATTGAAAAAGAATAAAAACTTTTGTTTGATGATGAATGCTTCTATATATATAAAACAGAGAAAAAGTCAAATGGAGTGTTGTCCAGCAGCTCGCTATGACGTTTATATATGACAGAAACGTTAAACAGAGTATAACAGTTTTTAGTCATCTAAACCATTATAAGTAAAATTACTTGCATTTTGAAAGAAAAAGTCATTATTTTATCAAATGAATAAAGGTAGCATTATATAAGTGGTACAAATATGCACGCATTTCTATTGTAAGTATTTCTTCAAAATATTATAAATATCTCAGACTAATTGTTAAAATACAAATTATTCTTTTTGATTGCCTAGATTGAAAATAAAATGAAGTATAGTTGCTGTCTCTTCTCATTAAAAATCATTTGAGAATATTTGAATATGTTCCAGAATATCAAAAATTATTGATAGTTTATAAATTCATATGTGATCTTTGTAGAGATCTATTATCAGTAGAGTAACCAAAATCACTGTGAGATTAGTGTAAGCAATTGATTTGTATGTTTTCATTTACTCTCCGTGGGTACATATTTATTATACGTTTGTTAATGTGTAATATTTTTATCCGCGACGTTGTTTGTTTCCAAGTAAATAGTAAAAGTAGTAAGTATAGTAATTCTTTTTTTTTTTCCCTCTTAAACATTTTTATTCGACATCAAACATAGACAACAACGTTGTTCAAGCAATACTAATTAGTTTATTATTAGATGGATTGTATTTTATTTTTTCTACTATTGTTTCATGGTGAACATTGATCGAATAAATTTCATGAAGAGAGACACACAGAGAGATCATATAATATCTTTGCAAATATTTACCAACACACTGCTCATTCACTAACTATCACTCTTTCTCTCTGTCATTCAATGTGTGAACTTTACTATATAGTAATTAAAAGTGTTCACATTTTTTTCTCCGCATTTTCTCAAAGAAGATTTCTTCTACGTTAGAAATTAGAATTAAAATGTCAGACAAAAGTTTGAGACAATCGAACAATACCTGACTTATTTTATGAATCAAACGATTTACAAAACGTTCAATGACTTGCCACTGATAAATTCGAAAGGTTGAGTGTCATAAAAATTTAAAAAATACTTTTTATTTGGCGAGTTTTTAAAACTGATAGATCAGAAGTTCAAAAAAGTTAAAATTCAAATTTTTTTTAAATAAGAATGGTTAATTATAACGCGTGAAAGAGCATGTCAGACTACAGAAGGTCATTCATTGTTATTCTAGATATTTAAGACTTTTTATCAAGTTTTGTCCAAGAGGTTTTCAGACAAACGTTTCTTTGAAAAATATCTTAGGTGCAAAAATACTAGAAACTATTTATGTATAAATTCTACTCTAACGTTAGTATTGGAAACTAGAGATTTTTACTGAAAATAAGACGTTCATCAGTTCTTTCCAATATTTACTTCAACTTCATCTGTTATGTTAGAACTTTTCAGCGTAAATAAAGTAGAAAAATGGGGCACTCGCATTTAAGAAGTTGTATCTCTCTATAAGAATTTTAACGTTTTTCAAACTTTGATCTATCAATTTTAAAAACTCATTTCGTCTTTTTCATCAAAAAAAAACTTCTTCGAAATCGCTTCGTAGAATTAAGACAGACGTTGTTCGACTGTCTCTAACTTTTGTCAACTACTTTAGTTATAGTTGCTATATAAATTATTAATTTTAAGTTACTTGAAAGACAATTATTGTCACGTAGAGACCATATTTATATATCAATTTCATAAGTATAAATGAAATATAATTTCATTTTAACCACGCATGCAACAGTAACCTAGTGTTTCATTATACACAGAAGTATAGAAAAAAAACACCGGAAAAAAAATATGGAATGGAAAATGTATAATATAAAAGCAAAAGTTGATTCTTTTTACGTCTCATTTATTGCCTCTATTACTTCTA